GGGGTTTCGGGCATAAATTTTTAACGCAGATATTACCGTTCATTTTTGCCTATGTTTCGGGTTTTTTCCACTTTTTTGGGGGCCCCAAGTCAAGAACTTTGAGGACCCCTTCGGAGCTGGTGCCCCAATACAAATTGCCCCCCTCTCGGCGGCTCTGGCCTTCATAATATAGGCCTGTTTCATACGTCGAATTTAATTCAGACGAATTTAATTCGTTATTAAATTCGTCAATTGATCGACACTAAAATGGTTTCGTTTCAAACGACGAATTTAATTCAGACGAATTCATTTCATGTCTAGCGATCATGGATTACCCAGAAGTAAAAAACCACGAGACCAGAAAGAGAGAAACAGACTTTAACATAATTTATGCATTTAATTCGGCACGACGATAACACGTCGTATGAAACGAAGACGCGCTACAGACGTTGTATCCGTCTGACCATGACGGATACAACGTCTTGGACGAATTTAATTCATCAGACGGATTTAATTCGTTTCATACGACGCACTAACGTCGCATTTAATTGGTTTAATTAAATTCGTCTGAATTGAATTCGACGATAGTGCGACGTATGAAACGGGCCTAAGTTACAGTTGGCTACTTTTAGTTACGTTCATGAAAATTTTGACAAACAAGAACTTTTGTACTTTTTATACGGTCAAGCCGGCAATACTTTATCAACGGAATATTTATATTTAGTATATATACTCATTTAGTAATATCAAAACTAACGAAAATCAAGCCTAACAAAACTTTTCCCATAACAAAACTTTTCCCATAACAAAACTTTTCCCATAACAAAACCATTCCCATAACAAAACTTTTCCCATAACAAAACCTTTCCCATAACAAAACGTTTCCCATACCAAAACGTAAGTTAATTGTTCTCATAATTAAATTATTGTCACTTCTCCGAGCTTTTTAGTGTTATAATTCCGTCTTTAGGCGTCTATTTGATTATTACAACTCCATCCAAATTCAGAAAACAAACGCTGAGAATGCTCGGGACGTAATAAGCGGAGAAATTCCGCACTGACGTTAAGAAGCCTGGGTTGAAAATGCGGATATTTTGTTAAAATACAACTTGCTCGAAGATGAAAATGTATATTCTGAGGGGACGCACTTCTTTTAGGTTGTCCAGTCACTCTGTCTCGATATTCGCGTATGTCACGATAAACAACTATAAGATCATCGGGCAAGAATTGAGGGGGATTATCGATCTTACCGTCACAACCGTAACACTTCGATACCGTCGTGCCCGAAACCCACTTTAAGTTAAATGTATCGAAAGCGTTGAAACCAGAAGCTCCAGATGATAAAGGCGAAGGGGTGGAGTTATAAAAGACAGAAACAGACGCAGAAGGTTGTGAAATACCACAGATGCGAGAATTGCTGGGAGTCGCTAAATACGATGTGTTGGCATAACGTTGCGGTGAAGGCGTAGCTTGTTGTTGATGGTTGTTGATAAGTGGCTGTTGATAAACAACAGAATGGCAGTGTTGAGGGCGTATCGCAGTCGATGTGGGCGTATCAGTTTGTAAAGCAAATGGGGTTGAGTATGAAGAACTCGGGTGGGAAGGTGATGTTTCCAAGCGGTAGCCGCTACTTGAAGGTGGCATAACTCGTTTGAAGAAGGCTGCAGAATCACAGGTACCATGAGTAGTTGAAGTTGTTCTTGGTGTTGATCTTGGTTCCCAAGGGCTAAATGCAGTCATAGACGGAAACGACGTGTGCGAACTGCTTCGTTCTCGACTCGAGGTCTCGTTGCGTGCATATGCTTCACGATCGAAGATGTCGACATATTCGTTGACAGGCTGAGATTTAAGATTTGAACGCTTTCTCGACGATGGTTTCTTTCCAGCACTTTTCGGACCACCTTGTTCTACCATTCCCATCATATTTGGTCGTTTCCTTGTACGACCAAACCACGTGAGAAATTCGCTTAACCGCCCGGTAGCTTGGGCTACTGCCAAAGTGTGTTCGCATATTTTGGTTGAATTGTTAATACACGTTCTGTCGCATGTCCATGATCCACCTTTGCCAGGTTTCACGCTGTGAAGTTTGTTTGCTGTCCCAGCTACAATATATGAGCCATCAGTCGCGCCGGGTTTTGGGATGACGTTTCCAGGCGTAGATAACAGGTTGCTCGCTTTCGATATCATTCCATCTATTATGGAAGGTGGCACATTCAAAATATTCGCACTTCGAACAGCAGTTTCAAAGTCTGAAGCTGACGTTGTCTCAACGTTCTTGTTTTGGTTAACCAGTTCTGCAGTGACATCTTTCTTTTGGTCCATACCCGCATTCAAGTAAGACGCCAGTTTCTTTTTCGTTTGCAAAGGTGTCATTTGGCTTCGTTGGTGATCGTCCACACCCAAGTGTTGGAATTCTTTCCTCAGACGGTATTGTCCCTTTCCGTACACAGCGCGATCTTCATTTCGTTGCTGAGTTTCCACAATGTCTTTGATCTTTTCAATAAACTGGTGTGGCTTTTGCGCATTGAAATGAAGACCGTGTTTAATTAAAAAATTTGCAGATTCTGGATCGTTATTGGTATACTCGACGGGCGGATTTCCGAGCCCAGCCTCAGTGCGAACGGGTCTTATCATGGATGTTTTCATGTCTTCAGCCTAAGATAAAAACAAAACCTGAATACGTACGCTATCAATGTGTATAAAACTGCATATAGGGTATGCCACCAAACTAACTATATATCTAACAGTGCAGAATTCTTTCACTGTTGCCAGCCAGAGCGGAGTAACAAAGATACAGCCATTACATAATGGTACCGTAATTGCACTTTGTGTTTCATATTTTTGTCGATTCACGTATTTCTCCTCCAGTCACGGCGATTTGGGTTGAATTTTTTACAGCATTTTGTTCCAAGGCTGTTTTAAATGTCATACGTACAATTTAGTTAAAAAATCATCTTTAAGATTAAGACGTGGATTCTAATATGACCTCAAAAATGATCGAAACGTTTTGGTCAAATTTTGTTACGTCACGATGAAACGCACCTATACTAGTTTTTTTTTTACTGAAAGTAAAATTATAATGTGTTACCTTATTATTCTTGAACCATTCGAAAAAGGATTGCTTAATACCATCACTACGACGACTTTCTCGCTCTTCCCAGGCACCTTGTAGGTTCTGCAACATATCATCAAATTCAGCTTCGGAATCCCGATCTACGAGTCCGTAAAACTTACAAGATCCATCTTGTGTCCCAAAGATTTCATCCATGAATAACTTTTTCACGTCTGCAGGGAATCCTCGGGAAGAGAGCTCGCGTTTTACGTTTTCCTTGAAGTGGATGAAACAGCGAAGGAAAACGGCGAAACGAAAGTTACGCTGAAATCCTTTTATCGGTGCCGTTTCTCCATCTGTGCCACATGCAAGGATGCCTTCCAACTCTGGTTTTGCAGAAGTTAATGCGTGAGAAAATTTGGAATAAGTTTTCCAATCTTTATGTTGATGCATCATCAATGGCCCGATGAAAACTGGCGGTTTATTTGTGTTTGGATTGACTAACTTCAAATTTCGGAATGTCGTTACTGTCAAACTTATGTTCCGATCAAATATATTGAACGTGGGATCAACTCCAGACACGCTGAATTCGTCCTGCTTGGTGCAGAATTGAGTTAGTTCATGCAACTGTCTGTCGTTCGCAAGGACAATGAAAAGGTAGGGATGAATGGCACACTCCCGTATGAACACAGATTCGTTTGATTGTTCTTCTTCGCGTTTAGCACGCTCAAGAAGCGTCCAAACATCTTCAATTGTAACACTTGGTGTATCGTTTGGTTTGCTAGCATGTGCACATGTGTTCGTATGTTCAGCATGCCCATCCGTTTGTTTTGCCAGATGTCTTGCATTATACAGATCTTTTGGTCCTCTCGGAAGTTCACTAGCAGATCTAGCATGTGTTACATCACCGGATTCACGATAAACTTTGTCGAGGATCTCTTTAGTGGTTTTTTCCTTATCGTGTACGGAAATTTTCAATTTTTCTCTGGTACTAGGCTGTAATCGTCTGTAAGAAGATTTAGTGGTCTTTGCACTCCCGTGAGGCATTACTCGCTCCAGCTCGTGTTCTTTTCCCTTAAATAAGTACTGTACCAAGACGTAAGGTAAAGGATTTCCATGATTGTCTAAAGAAAATAGTCATTTTGTTTAGTCGTTGACATGCTAGTTTCATATTATTATGAAAGCGGGATTCGAACTATAATTTTTGACAGGGTCATGTAATTATCCCCGAGCCGGCGGCGCGAAGCGCCGTGCGAGGGTACTAATTCCGCCCGGCTATTTACACCCGGGTATTTGAAAACATAGCGAAGTGCAAAGTTGTCCTCCATTATGTGATGGACGGTCTTCGATGTTATTGCGCATGTACGTGTAATAGCTCGTCCTAAAATTCTAAAAATATTGTTTTTCATTTTGCAAAGATGTATTTTGATATTTTACAATATATTTCTGCGATGTATTTCGCTATTTAACTGGAAAAAATCCTGCAGTTTCATGAATTAGTGGCTGTCAACCGTGAAACAAAGTGTGAAAGGCATGCATAAAGTTATAAACTGATAAACACGAATTTTGTCGAAGACGAACCAGATCGATGTTTTTAATATAAAATTTAATCGTTATCTTGACTCTTGGCTATCTTGGGTAAGTGTTATAAACATTTCAGTATAAAAATTTCATACCGTACTTGCTTTGTATTTTCGATTTCATTCATATCGACGAAATTTTTATGCCATTTGACTCAATAAATAATATATTTTTCTGCAAGCTGGTATTTACATGAAAATGTATAAATGTAGTGATTCTAAATATTGTTTATTTAGGGCAATTAATACAGCGTATAGTGTTTTTATGCGTGTTTATAATGGTCTGTTACCTACAGCAAATATGGCTTCACCAAAGTATAACTCAAAAACTAGCTTTTGCTTATATAAAGCAAATATATTTTACCGTATTTTCGAGCAAATTACTGACTATACTGTCAACAAAACGAGTGTTTCAGTTTCCCCTGCAGTTCCACGGCAAAGTTTCGAAACGCTTTAATACCGTTACATTTCTTGAATAACAAATTATGAAAATCAACGATTCTTTTTGTAAAAAATTATCTCCTATTATTTTCTCATATTATTTTCATGTTACCATAGCGACTATTACTATTTTGAACATGGAGTACTTCATGTTGAATGGAATTTCTATACCTCATCTGTTAAAAAAGGCGAGGGGTTGCTGCATGCATGTATTTCTAGTATACAGATGAGTATAATGTTTTCGTAAAGTTTCCTTTTCCCCCAATGGACGTTGACCTTGTTCGATTAAGACTTTAATTTCCGAGCCAAGGCCTTCCGTCTAGAACTTTGAGTCGGGTAGGTCGGGGCGTGCTTTTATGCCATGGCGCTTTTATAAACTAGGGATCCAAGGATAGTGTGAAGTTTCAAATTGAAAAAGACACTGCCAGAACTATATAGGGGTCGCTGCCAACCTACAAAAGCTGATGGCTTACACTACGAAATAAACAATTGCCAACGGCATTTCATCTCATTATCTATTGCTTTTAATGCGCTCGGCACACGAGTAGCGTGACGTTTGAAACAAGCCTACACATCAGAAACTTGCTTTGTGAAACTTATACAATTTATCTATTTACTATATTGTGATGCTACACGCGACAATTCAAAATTTTAATTGCAGCTGTCTCTAAAAGCATCCCCACGAGGCTACTGCAATGCTATAGTAATAAAATAAAAAATCTTAGCAATACACTAACCTTCCAATCTTGCGACCAACTTCCTGATAGTCTCGTCCGAGCTATTCTGGTAATATACCCTTTTCAGTACGTACACATCATCCGCAGGTTCAGATGGGTTCGTTATTAAGGATTGGATACTTGTAATCCCTTTTGTACCCTTCGTGACGCAATAACAATGTTTCGGCGAACCATTGTGTTTCCAGCTGCCCATATCATCGCATTTAATGTCGTCTGGATGTTTTAAATGACTCATTTGAACTAAAAAGGTCACATTGTGTGAGATGTTAACGGGCTGTGATATACAGAGACGTTCCTCGCTGTATTCTCCCAAAAGAATGCAAACCAATTCTTCGGCTGTATAGGCTTTTTTAGACCAGGAAAACACCGGAATCATGGCATCTCCTTTATAGGCATCACCCAATGGTTCAAATGTGTCGAATTCAGTATCGCTATTAAAAAGAAAAGCTTTGTTATTTTCCAATAAAAAAGCATAAAATCTAAATTAGATACAACCTTATTATATTTAGTTTAGTATTCGAATTTAAGTTTAGTATTTAATTCCACACCAGATATTCTGCTCTTAAAATGCGTTTTGCTTTTGCGAGGGAACAAAATTCCGGTGTAATACATTCGAGCAAACAATTAGATTCTACCAACTACAAGTAACTTGCAAGGAGGCATGGCATTACTCAAGTGGAATTGTCAAATTCCTTGATATTTTCCAAAAATAATAAAATAATGTTTATACCTTGCTGACTGGGCTTCTGAATTATCTGTAACATTGACACAGTCATTGTCTGTTTCAATTAAACTTGCCTGCAGATGGACATAAAATTAACAAAATGTTTAATTATTGGTTTGAAGAAATACATAAAATCTGTTATATTAAGAATTATATACTGTTTGGCTGTTTACACTAGTCTTGCAATTTTTCTGCGATTTCTAGTGCGATTTTTTCCTTCTGATGGAGGTAAACGAGTACATGTAGATGAGTTATGAATGCTCTGAGTATATGTACCGAACGTTCATAACTCGTCCACTCGTTTACATCCATCAAAGAAGAAAATAGCACCTAAGACAAGTGTAAACGAGCCTTAAAACCGCATCTTTAAACAGAATATTCACAAGTAGCTATACTGTTTGGGTTGGATGATATTAACATCACATGCACTGAATCGTTCATATATAGATTATTTCAATTTTCGCGCCTACACACTATATAGGCTGATTTCTACTGTTGCGTTTTTGGAACGCAGGTACACGCACGTAAAACTTGCTTCGTTTATTTGTTTATTTCATAAGTAACATTTATACGGATTTAAAGTTTTACGTCAATCTCGTTCCCCGAGCCTGCGATCCTCGGAATAATCTGTTACCGGAAGCCAAGAATCCTGGCTAAGATTGAACTACGCATTCCATTTCAATGGCCAATCAGATTCCTCCCTGAAACGGATTATCCCAGAGCCTCGCGTTCACTGAGTGCTCGCGTTCCTTCCCGAGGATCGCAGGCTCGGGGAACGAGATTGGTTTTACGTGCGTATACTGCCTCGTACCCAGGCGTCTCTTTGTAAAAAAAAACAGTGATGCGCATATGACGAGTTTACATGATTCATGTAAGCGCCTGGGTACGAGGCAGGTGCGTATACGTATGAAAACGCAACAGGGGAAATCAGCCTTTTTAGATTAAATTATGTTGTGTAAATGAAGACACAATTTTAAAACTGTAAAATGATTTTAATTAAACATCTTGATAATGGGAGTTTACTGTTATACCGATATACTGTACGGTAAACAATAGATTATAAAGTAAATGCATAAAATATATTACACTAATCATTTATTACATATCTTCTAATGGCAATTAGAGAACGCACCTCTTCGTTACCTTTTGCGGCCCCAAAGCTATCAGGTGACTCGCGTTCAGGACTTGTTTCTCCAGCAGGAAAGTCACTCTTCTCGGCTGGTACACCATATTCTAAAATGTATGTGGAAACATAACTTGTTTAATTGTTCTTGTTTGTGGAAACACCACGTAAATTTATTACTAAATAAAAGGAAACAAATAAAAAAAAAGTGGCATTCAAATACAAAAAAATAGATAGCGCTTGAAATTGGCAAATTCACAGTATTGTACTAGCTTATATAGCAATGCAATAATTACAGTGCTACATACATTCTGTAGTTTAACACATTAGTCCATGCTTTTTTCTATCTTTTTAGAAATACAGTTATCCACTAATTTCACTAAGGTAATAATGTTTAAGGTTGGCATGAGCAACAAATAGTTTTGAATTAGGACTGAACACAAGCCTGGAGATATTAAATGAGAATGCAAAACTTGCTTATGTTTTTAATTGGTGTGTTACCTTCACTTTGGGTAGAATCCACACTGTACACCACTTGAACAAATAACTCCTTTCCTGATTTGTCTCTGCTTCTCATGTGTGCAGTCATTTCCCCTCTAATTTTCGGAGAAATATCACATTTAGGGGCGGGGGTTACGACTGTTCGGTATACCGATATACCGAAAATATCGGTATTAAATCAATATCGGTATATCAGTACCGGATATTCAACCATACCGAAATACCGAAATTTCGGATATACCGGAATTTTTCGGTATATTGTGTTAAATTTACCAACTATATGGCAAAACCATAACCTTTATTTTACTACTGAATGGCAGAGAACTTTCTAGTGCAATGATTTAGAATTTCCACTTCGGTGAGATTTTACACTGAGTATGTGTCATTCGAAACATGTTCGAAACAGCTTCAAAATTATCGTTTTTCCTTTTAGAATTACTCAAAATTTCCTTGAAATTCCCATTAAAGAATTTTCCTTTATAATTATCAAAGGAAAACCGGTATACCGATAATATTGGTATAATTTTTTCGGTATACCGATACCGGAAATTTCTCATACTGAACATTCCTAGCGCCCCCCATTTAGGAAGGAACCTCAACATGGGAAAGTCTAGAGAGAATAGCCATTGGCATTATTGCTGATCAATATCTGAATGTCATTAATACTGTGACATAAAAATTTGTGTAAAACTTTCAATAAAGTATAATTATTACTGTATTGATATTGTACAATTTATAAAATTGTACATAATATACTTTCACAAAATTTTCTTACCGATTTTCAATTACATCACTTCTATCTTCATTCACATTTGGCTCCTGATCGGAATTATCCACTAACTATAGTTACAAAAAGAAACATTTACATTCCGGCAGTACTGTAACAATACTGTAGGCTAGTCCAGTTACAGTACGTTGTACCCATGTCAAAATTTTAAAAATTTAGATTGCATGAGCTGTTTACGACATATCAGAATAACCTAAACTTTAACGAAAACCCTTTATATTTTCCAATATTCAAACATTGTAAAAAAATAGCATGGAATCTCTGTAAGCAAGATATAGATCTATGTTAGTGTTCTCCATGAATCCATCAAATACTATACAGTATTTCAATGTCAGTGCACGGATATATCTTCCGCACCCGTATTGTATTACCCCTTTATAAATATACGCCATTGATGGCATTGTGTATTTACCTGTGATGGGTTTTTTCCTTGTTGTTTTTTCCCGTTAAGTTCAAGCTGTCCAGTTGGCGTTGTGATCATTGAACGAACTTAAAAATAAATTTCAGATAGTTGGTCTGGTGAGCACTCTTAAAGAGGGTCCTGAAGGGGTAAATGAGAACTGTGATTTGTGTATTTTTGGACTGGGGAAATGGGATTTGGGTTACTGGGAATGAAGGACTCAAAAATGGGAATGGGAAAACCCAAATGCCAATATAAAGACAGTTGTACTTGGACATTTCAGAGTGAAATAACTTTCAGAACAGCTACAGACTGGGAAATTAGGCTGGGAAATGGGATCTAGACCACCCCCCCCCCTCCCCCCTCTTCAGGGCCCTCCTTAAAAGTACTTCACGTAAGTCGTTCATATATACTCAAATAAATTTGTGAAACTTCATCATAAACTGATGAACAGGAATGCGTCAGAATGACAATCGTATACAACTTCATGTTGGATCGTGTGTAAATGGGCCTTAAGGCTAATGCAAGCATTGAAATGGCAGATAAAATTTTGTGATAGAATAAGACCAAATTGAATCAATGTAAATCCTTAACTTGCTACTGTACTGAAATTACTGTGTTACCGTCAAGTTTCTTCTGGTAAGAACACACACTGTCCACTACAACATCCTTCCCTGATTGGGCTGTGCTTTTTGGGAGACCACTTGTTCTGTCTCTGATTTTTAAAAGGAACATACCGGGTGGCCCAAAAAAAAGTACTCCTGTTTGATTTATAATAACTTCTAAACAAGTAAATCTATCAAACAGAAATAACTTGCATTAAATAGAGGAAGGACTAACTTAGATTTTGATATGTTACAGTTGTATTTTACTTAAAAATTCACGGAGATATTAATGTTCAAAATCGGGAGCATATTTTGGGATGTGTCTAAAATTAGCGAAAATCGGCGTATCAAATTTTCACTCCAGCGTTTGTTTGCTTAATGACATATCAGGGTAAATTGTATTTCAGCGAATAGTCGTTAGGGTTTGTAAGGGATATGGCGTAGATTTAGACATCTTACATGTAAGTCTTAACTTATTGTTTCCTGAAATATGAACGTTCAAAATTATGTAAGTATTTAATAGGTCTTTGCAAACTTAAGGTACTGAAAGACCATGCAAGGCAGGCGCTTCAATTTTTCTTAAATAACCTATTTTTTTATGTTTTTCATGGGTTCAAAACAAAGTTGATTATTTCTCGGTTAGAGCAGGATTAATAGATATAATAATACTTTGTTTCATAATAAACAATTTGTCAAGTGTCATTTATTTACTGGTAATAGTGCATGTTTCAGTCGGGCAAATCTTGATTATTATTTGATACGCCGATTTTTGCATATTTCAGACACATCCAGAAATATCCTCCCGAATTTAAAGATTAATATCTCCGTGAATTTTTAAGTGAAATACAACTGTAATATATCAAAGTCTAAGTTAGTCCTTCCTCTATTTGATGCAAGTTATTTCTCTTTAAAAGCTATACTTGTTTAGATGTTATTACGAATCAAACAGGAGTACTTTTTTTTGGGCCACCCGGTATTATATTAATAATGCACAAATTAGACTGCTGCTTTGCTCGTAGCTTCAGGTTCACATGCTCTGCAGCAATAATAAAGTAGCTAGGGTGCATCAGGGAACAATGCAGATTATTAATGAGTTAAAATGGGATTACCCATAAAAACTTACTGATTTTCATTTAAATCTTGAAGTGGTTTTTCTTCTGGCTATTTAAAAATACAAAAGTTATCATGGTAAAATTATGGAAACTATGGCAGGAACACTGTTGTTTTGCAGATTGGGGGAGGGGGGTATTTTTTATTACCTCTGTGGGGGGGGGGGGTATGCACCCCCAATAAGCACCCATGGGCCACCTCAAAACCAGGGTGTTACAGCATGAGCCATGCAGGCAATGGAAGTGTTCCTAAAATAACGTATATCAATTCATCTGCTCACAAGAACCAATTTTATTTGGGACCGTTGACCAATTGTTTACAATTTCATTCATTTGATAATTTCTGGTCACTTCCTGTGTCTTTATGATTGGCAAATTTGCAATTATTCGAAAAGTTGTAAAATTTTCAAATATTTGATCAATGAGTTGGTTCGTGTATAAAGCAAATGAATTGATACAGAATTTTAGGAACTCTTCCACTGCCACGGCTGTAAATATAGGAAATATGGTGTGTAAAGTTTACCTGTGGTGGTGCGATGCCTTGGTTTTTATCATCTACTGTAATTCAATGAGTCAAAGTTAGTGATTTCAATTTACAGTACTAAAGCTCATTAATTAAAATTCTTCAAATTACCTTGACACAGCACAGTTAACACATCATGTGCAGAGGCTCTTTGACTGGGTTGAAAAGATGTGCACATTTCATAGGCTTCATTAATGTATGACCACTGAGTAACACGAAGGGAATCGTATTTGGTGGAATGTGCTAGTTTCTTTTTCTGGTCCATGAGGTTTCCAATCACATCTTTTGCTTCTGAAGCACTCTCTACATTAAGATCCTCCATTTCTTGGGAATATGGAAATTCCTGGTCAGGATTCAACAACATAAACAAAAGCATCCCCAAGGACCAAATGTCACCATATTTTAATTCCTCCAAGGAATAAGAAACACGGTTTTTTGTGCCAACCACGGCCTCGGGTGGGTTGTATACAAGTGTTCCTCTTTGCAGGTTTGTTGTTCGCGTGTGGTGAATAGTTGCAGTTTGATGCAATACGGATCGGCTTTCACCAAAATCTGCAAGTTTGCATACAATGCCTTCCTGTAACCAAGCTTGTTGGATTTCATGGGGATCCGTCAAGTGACAGTAGTGGGTGTTGGAGACTAACACATTTCTCGGTTTGATGTCCCTATGCACAATGTTTCCATCATGAAGATAATCGATAGCCGTAACGACATCCCGTGCGATTTTTTGTTGAAGGAAAGATAACTGGTACACGACTTCACCATTGCAAAGAAAATCCAGGTATTCATTCAGAGAAGAGATGCGATCACCATCAATTCCGAGGGGTTTAAAATCAAAATAAACATACTCGAGAATCACTGCGACAGGGTTTGAACAGTAGCCTTCGACGCCCACAATATGTTTACAGCGCAAACCGCTTAGTATTCGCACTTCTTTCACAAATAAATCTCTCTCCTTCTGTTTTTTCTGTCTTCTAAGCTTTTTGATTACGACAAATTTGTCATTAATTTTTGCCGAATATACTTCGCCAAAGCTGCCTTCACCGAGTTTGGACCTTTCTGTTACATCGGTCCATTCAATTTGCGTTAGCCCTGGTACTGTTATTCCCACATCTGAAGAACTATTAACATTTAAAACAGGCAGTTTTAAAGCCATAAATGCAAATTATTTTATGACATGTTTATGTTGCCCGGCCTCGATCGACAAAAAGACAACACGTGCAAGTGTAGCCTGCGAACAGGCGTTACTAGGCGCCCCGGTTTGTTACGTCATACGCACGTGGGACGGCACGCGAGTTCATGCGAGGGAGAAAAACGGAAACGCGGCACATACGCAATTCCATATGCAATTCTGCGCTAGGAAATTCCGGCTTTTAGTATTCCGGGTTTTAGAGATTCCCCATTTTAGTATTCCGGGTTTTAGAGATTCCCCATTTTAGTATTCCGGGTTTTAGAGATTCCCCATTTTAGTATTCCGGGTTTTAGAGATTCCCCATTTTAGTATTCCGGGTTTTAGAGATTCCGGCTTTTAGTATTCCGGGTTTTAGAGATTCCGCTTTTTAGTATTCCGGGTTTTAGAGATTCCGGTTTTTAGTATTCCGGGTTTTAGAGATTCCCCATTTTAGTATTCCGGGTTTTAGAGATTCCGGCTTTTAGTATTCCGGGTTTTAGAGATTCCTGCTTTTAGTATTCCGGATTTTAGAGATTCCCCATTTTAGTATTCCGGGTTTTAGAGATTCCGGCTTTTAGTATTCCGGTTTTTCGAGATTCCCCATTTTAGTATTCCGGGTTTTAGAGATTCCCCATTTTAGTATTCCGGGTTTTAGAGATTCCCCATTTTAGTATTCCGGGTTTTAGAGATTCCCCCTTTTAGTATTCCGGGTTTTAGAGATTCCCCATTTTAGTATTCCGGGTTTTAGAGATTCCCCATTTTAGTATTCCGGGTTTTAGAGATTCCCCATTTTAGTATTCCGGGTTTTAGAGATTCCCCATTTTAGTATTCCGGGTTTTAGAGATTCCGGCTTTTAGTATTCCGGGTTTTAGAGATTCCGGCTTTTAGTATTCCGGGTTTTAGAGATTCCCCATTTTAGTATTCCGGGTTTTAGAGATTCCGGCTTTTAGTATTCCGGTTTTAGAGATTCCCCATTTTAGTATTCCAGGTTTTAGAGATTCCGCATTTTAGTATTCCGGGTTTTAGAGATTCCGGCTTTTAGTATTCCGGGTTTTAGAGATTCCCCATTTTAGTATTCCGGGTTTTAGAGATTCCGTCAATTTTAGTATTCCGGTTTGTAGAGATTTCGGCTTTTAGCATGCCGGATTTTAGAGATTCCCCATTTTAGTATTCCGGGTTTTAGAGATTCCGGCTTTTAGTATTCCGGGTTTTAGAGATTCCCCATTTTAGTATTCCGAGTTTTAGAGATTCCGCTTTTAGTATTCCGGCTTTTAGAGATTCCCCATTTTAGTATTCCGGGTTTTAGAGATTCCCCATTTTAGTATTCCGGGTTTTAGAGATTCCGGCTTTTAGTATTCCGGGTTTTAGAGATTCCCCATTTTAGTATTCCGGGTTTTAGAGATTCCCCATTTTAGTATTCCGGGTTTTAGAGATTTCCCATTTTAGTATTCCGGGTTTTAGAGATTCCCATTTTAGTATTCCGGGTTTTAGAGATTCCGGCTTTTAGTATTCCGGGTTTTAGAGATTCCCCATTTTAGTATTCCGGGTTTTAGAGATTCCCCATTTTAGTATTCCGGTTTTTAGAGATTCCCCATTTTAGTAGTCCGGGTTTTAGAGATTCCCCATTTTAGTATTCCGGTTTTTAGAGATTCCCCATTTTAGTATTCCGGTTTTTAGAGATTCCGGCTTTTAGTATTCCGGGTTTTAGAGATTCCCCATTTTAGTATTCCGGGTTTTAGAGATTCCGGCTTTTAGTATTCCGGGTTTTAGAGATTCCCCATTTTAGTATTCCGGGTTTTAGAGATTCCGGCTTTTAGTATTCATGGTTTTAGAGATTCCCCATTTTAGTATTCCGCGTTTTAGAGATTCCCATTTTAGTATTCCGGGTTTTAGAGATTCCAAATTTTAGTATTCCGGGTTTTAGAGATTCCGGCTTTTAGTATTCCGGGTTTTAGAGATTCCCCATTTTAGTATTCCGGGTTTTAGAGATTCCGGCTTTTAGTATTCCGTGTTTTAGAGATTCCGGCTTTAGTATTCCTGGTTTTAGAGATCCCCATTTTAGTATTCCATGTTTTAGAGATTCCGGCTTTTAGTAGTCCGGGTTTTAGAGATTCCCCATTTTAGTATTCCAGGTTTTAGAGATTCCGGCTTTTAGTATTCCGGGTTTTAGAGATTCCGGCTTTTAGTATTCCGGGTTTTAGAGATTCCGGCTTTTAGTATTCCGGGTTTTAGAGATTCCCCATTTTAGTATTCCGGGTTTTAGAGATTCCGGCTTTTAGTCTTCCGGGTTTTAGAAATTCCGGCTTTTAAAATTCCGGGTTTTAGAGATTCCCCATTTTAGTATTCCGGGTTTTAGAGATTCCGGCTTTTAGTATTCCGGGTTTTAGAGATTCCCCATTTTAGTATTCCAGGTTTTAGAGATTCCCCATTTTAGTATTCGGGGATTTAGAGATTCCCCATTTTAGTATTCCGGGTTTTAGAGATTCCCCATTTTAGTATTCCGGGTTTTAAAGATTCCGGCTTTTAGTATTCCGAGTTTTAGAGATTCCCCATTTTAGTATTCCGGGTTTTAGAGATTCCGGCTTTTAGTATTCCGGGTTTTAGAGATTCCGGCTTTTAGTATTCCGGGTTTTAGAGATTCCCCATTTTAGTATTCCGGGTTTTAGAGATTCTGGCTTTTAGTATTCCAGGTTTTAGACATTCCGGCTTTTAGTATTCCGGGTTTTAGAGATTCCCCATTTTAGTATTCCGGGTTTTAGAGATTCCGGCTTTTAGTATTCAGGGTTTTAGAGATTCCCCATTTTAGTATTCCGGGTTTTAGAGATTCCCATTTTAGTATTCCGGGTTTTAGAGATTCCGGCTTTTAGTATTCATGGTTTTAGAGATTCCCCATTTTAGTATTCCGGGTTTTAGAGATTCCCATTTTAGTATTCCGGGTTTTAGAGATTCCAAATTTTAGTATTCCGGGTTTTAGAGATTCCGGCTTTTAGTATTCCGGGTTTTAGAGATTCCCCATTTTAGTATTCCGGGTTTTAGAGATTCCCCATTTTAGTATTCCGGTTTTTAGAGATTCCCCATTTTAGTAGTCCGGGTTTTAGAGATTCCCCATTTTAGTATTCCGGTTTTTAGAGATTCCCCATTTTAGTATTCCGGTTTTTAGAGATTCCGGCTTTTAGTATTCCGGGTTTTAGAGATTCCCCATTTTAGTATTCCGGGTTTTAGAGATTCCGGCTTTTAGTATTCCGGGTTTTAGAGATTCCCCATTTTAGTATTCCGGGTTTTAGAGATTCCCCATATTAGTATTCCTGGTTTTAGAGATTCCGGCTTTTATTATTCCGGGTTTTAGAGATTCCCCATTTTAGTATTCCGGGTTTTAGAGATTCCTGCTTTTAGTATTCCGGGTTTTAGAGATTCCCCATTTTAGTGTTCCGGGTTTTAGAGATTCCCCATTTTAGTATTCCGGGTTTTAGAGATTCCCCATTTTAGTATTCCGGGTTTTAGAGATTCCCCATTTTAGTATTCCGGGTTTTAGAGATTCCGGCTTTTAGTATTCCGGCTTTTAGAGATTCCGGCTTTTAGTATTCCGGGTTTAGAGATTCCCCATTTTAGTAATCCAGGTTTTAGAGATTCCGCTTTTAGTATTCCGGCTTTTAGAGATTCCCCATTTTAGTATTCCGGGTTTTAGAGATTCCGGCTTTTAGTATTCCGGGTTTTAGAGATTCCCCATTTTAGTATTCCGGGTTTAGAGATTCCCCATTTTAGTATTCCGGGTTTTAGAGATTCCCATTTTAGTATTCCGGGTTTTAGAGATTCCCCATTTTAGTATTCCGGGTTTTAGAGATTCCCCATTTTAGTATTCCGGGTTTTAGAGATTCCCCATTTTAGTATTCGGGTTTTAGAGATTCCGGCTTTTAGTATTCCGGGTTTTAGAGATTCCCCATTTTAGTATTCCGGGTTTTAGAGATTCCGGCTTTTAGTATTCCGGGTTTTAGAGATTCCCCATTTTAGTATTCCGGGTTTAGAGATTCCGCATTTTAGTATTCCGGGTTTTAGAGATTCCCCATTTTAGTATTCCGGGTTTTAGAGATTCCCCATTTTAGTATTCCGGGTTTTAGAGATTCCCCATTTTAGTATTCCGGGTTTTAGAGATTCCCCATTTTAGTATTCCGGGTTTTAGAGGTTCCCCATTTTAGTATTTCGGGTTTTAGAGATTCCGGCTTTTAGTATTCCGGGTTTTAGAGATTCCCCATTTTAGTATTCCTGTTTTTAGAGATTCCCCATTTTAGTAGTCCGGGTTTTAGAGATTTCCCATTTTAGTATTCCGGTTTTTAGAGATTCCCCATTTTAGTATTCCGGGTTTTAGAGATTCCGGCTTTTAGTATTCCGGGTTTTAGAGATTCCCCATTTTAGTATTCCGGGTTTTAGAGATTCCCCATTTTAGTATTCCGGGTTTTAGAGATTCCGGCTTTTAGTATTCCGGGTTTTAGAGATTCCGGCTTTTAGTATTCCGGGTTTTAGAGATTCCCAATTTTAGTATTCCGGGTTTTAGAGATTCCGGCTTTTAGTATTCCGTGTTTTAGAGATTCCGGCTTTTAGTATTCCGGGTTTTAGAGATTCCGGCTTTTAGTATTCCGGGTTTTAGAGATTCCCCATTTTAGTATTCCGGGTTTTAGAGATTCCGGCTTTTAGGAGATTCCCCATT